TTGTTATCAAGGGGGCGGGGCGGTGGCACAACAACCGCCCACATTGACATTTCGAGCAGCGTTGTCATGAAACCTTTTGCTAAGGATTATGCAAATCTGCCACTCATCGTGCACTCACTCATACACAGCCAGCTCAAAAGCACACACACATACACTGGCACATACACACGCACATAGAAACACTGTACTGTCGTGCCTTCATTTACATTTACATTCAGCTAGCTGAAGATTTGCGCATCATAATTTATGCCCCTCAAGCTTCGCATTTCCCAGAAAGAGACAGCTAGCTGTAGGGTGGGAAAGGGACGGGGCGAGAGACACTTCATTCAGAACGCCTCAAAAATTGCCCACAGTTATGACAGTCAGGTGAACTCTGACAGAATCTGAATCAGAGAATCAGGAGCAGCAGCAGCCCAGGATTGTTATTCTCGTCCAGAGTTTGCCACTGCGAAAAATACTATCTACGATTTAGGTTTTAAAAATGAATTTTAAATAGAAACATTTTTTAAATACATAAGCATATTATCGATGGAATATACTTTTAAAATACAAGATATTTTATACAATTAGAACACAAGATATTTGGTCAAATTTGTATGCCATCAGTCAATCCATGTTGGGAACGTATATTTTGTTGCCTTTTTTTTATGAGTAAATTAATAAACTCTCAATAATAAACCACGAGGCTTAGGACTAAATTATCTTTTTCTAAGCCCAAATTTTTTATTCCGCTTTTTTAATAAAAATAACACAAAATAATAAGACCGATTATGAAATTTGCATATATCTCATACATCTGGGGCCTCGCCCCACGTTAAAAAAGCGCTTTTTATTTAAAACATATGAATGCAAATGTAAAAATACTCTGGGTTTTTTCATATTCTTTAGAGACATTTAAGGGGCGCTAACATCATAAAATGCTTTTTTAGCAAACATTTTTTATTGTTATGCGACAAGTGTTGCAACAATATTATTCTTCTCACAATATCTGCAAACGTTTTTTGCTCCCTTTCGCGCCAGTGTATTTTATCTCTCGTTCGCTTGCCTTTCCATAATTAAATCATAAAAAATTGTTTTTTAATGAAATTAGCTGTGGGTTTTTTCTGTGCTTTTGTTTTCGTTTTGGCTTTGCCTTGCATGATTTGTCATAATTAATACCGATGTGGGCGGTTCCCCGGGGGGTAAAAGAGAGTTATCTGACATTTGAGTGGCCTGGCCAACGCTTTTTGGCCATTCCTCGGGAGACGGTGCACTTTTGGCCATTTGCCCGTCGAGGTTCGGGGTCCTGGCACCCATAAAATGCTTATGGAAAGCGCTTAAATTTAGTAACCTTTCGGGGAAAGCGAGGGGAGCGCGGTGAGCGAGGGAAAATCTGCAAATGCAAACACCGTAAACACCTTTAAAAGCCAGTCCAAAAGGAGACCGACCGGACTTGGCTGCCAGATTCAGATAGTTGACCGGGCAATTTCCATGCGGGGGGACTTTGCAAAATGTGTAGTTTATTTGCAATTTTTTAGCCAACGAGCTTTACGTTTCTGTTTTGATTCCCACTCCCCTTTTGGCCATCCAACCTCTCCGAATGTGGAATTTTCGTTATCGCAGAGCTTGCAGCAGCAGCAGCTGCATCAGTTGCATCAGTTGCAATAAAATCAGTGGCCAAAGGTTGCAGCATCTGAGGTCAGCTGGGTGGCACTTTTCCACTTTTCCGCCTCCCAGCCCTTTGCATATGTGTATGTGTGTGTGTGTGTGTGTGCTTGTTAAATAGAACATTTGCTCGGAAAACCTGCGCAGGAAAATTTTGAAATTCGCCCGTTGTGTTTTGTTTATCCTGTTGGCTTTTTTTTTGTTGCCTAGTTCTTAGTCATTTTGATTTGTTTTAGCATTTGGAAAATAGTTTTCTGATTTGCATTTAAAAGGGACTTTTTGGTGGTGCTTTAAGGGCCCTAGTCGGCCTACAGATACAAATGCATTTATTGGATGTTAGAGGGTGTTGTATGTTAGATAAGCAAAGTATGGATAGCTTTGTTTGGAAAATATTCTTTTTTTTTTAGAAAGTTATTAAGTCCCTATGAATGGGGACTAAAAACAACTTTGACCTTTTTGAAAAACCAATAGATTTTTAGTATGTTTAGTATGTTTATTGAAAATAACTTTTGAATTCTTTTAAACGAAATCAAAATCAAAAAAAGAAACAAATATGAAATGTTATTACCACTAGTTGTATTATTTAGAAAAGAGTTATTTCTGCATTGCAATATAAAAGTGCAGCCAAACAAGTATGAAAACATTTGAAAATGGCACTTGAAAAAGACACAATAAACACTAAATTGCTTTTGCTGCAAAAAGCTGTAAAAAATATTACCCTGGTAACATGGAATTGGCTGGCAGAGCTGCCTCATAAATTTCTATCTGTTATAAATATATATATACCTACGTATATTGTATAGAAACAGGGATCTATTGTTGTGGGTGCCACGCATGCAACTATTAATCATATTGGATGGCGCGCCCTGACTTGTCCGGCTAATCAATCTTGCCGGCGAAATCTCTCCGCGTTCATCTCATCTAAATCGGAAGAAAAATGGCCGCTAAAGTCATTAACGCCTCGCTGGTCACCTGCCGCCAAGAACAGGGGAAAATCGAGGGGAAATCCAGGAGGTAAACTAAGCCGCCGGTTGCCATTTTGCTATTTTGTTTATGGCCCTGGCGAAAATCCTGGCCCCTCCCTTTCCACCGGATTTTCCCCACCCAGTTTACTCCCAGCTGCCCAATGAGGCGGCAGGCAAAAGCCAAAGGGGATTAGTTGTAATCAATAACTTGGCCAAAATGGGAGGGAAAACCGGTCTTGGGCTTCTGTTGTGTTTGCCTGTCGAAAGTTTCTCCGCACAGCTTATGGCCGGGCTTATACACTCGCAGTCAAGTTATTATTATAATTTCCTTCGCCAATGCGGATTAATTGAAAAGTTTTCCATTAAGAATTCGCGCTTGGTTAAATCGCCAACCGTCCTTTGTTTTACCTTTCGTCATATAATATGCAGGGCTGCCCGAATATATATACATCGGAATTTGCGTGCGATGCAGTATCTTAACCATTTGATCGTTATGGATTTTGACAGTTTCGCCGGGCATGATGAAAATTACTTAAAAGCATTTCGTTACCCAGCGCTGATTTGATTGATGGCCGTTTATGGATGCTTCGCCCCCACTCGTCATTATATTCGCATTATCAAGTGCTTTAGCTGTATATAGCTATATAAATATATATATTTGGTGGGTGGAGGAGCAATGGGGCATTGCAAATGGCAGTTGACGTCTTGTGGCGAGGAGCTGACAAAAAGTTGCGCCAATTTATGTCAATTATCGGAAGCTTCACCTGCGGAGTTGAATTTCGTTTTCGGGGGCAATTCGGATGGGTTGCGGAAAATCGAAAAAAAAATCTTCGAAAATCCCCTTGAGAGCAGCAGGCTGGGTAATTTGCTGGGGGAAAACAAATAATGGCATTTTTAGCTGTTACCCGATACAGCCAGTTTTTTATCATTCAAATTTGTCACTGGGTGACTGGGAAATTTGATAATGTTCAAGGGAAGCTGGCATCCTTTTCTATTTTTTCTCAGCTGGCGATATTGAACCGAAGGTCGAGTTATTGGGATTAAATATTGGGTGGGAATTGAATTTCCAAACTGGTTTGAGGGCAATTCTCTGAGTCCTTTTTTGCTATCTGTTATCCGTTGTTTTTTTTAAGAAATCTATTTATAGTGTTTCCTGTTTGTTGGCAAAATTGACTTTGAGGAATTTAACAAAGGTTATCGGTGGATAAAAGAAAAGGTAAAGAAGATACATGACTTTTTAAAATTTAACTAAACAAAATTTGTGTGAAATTTATTTTTCTTATTCTTGGTAATACATTTTACTCATAAATTATTATAAATAATGAAATTCTATAATTAGAAGAAGAAGCTCTCTGCTTAGAGCTGGTTTTAATATTATTAACAAATAACAAAAGTTCTAATTTTGTACATTGCTCAAAGCTCATCTTTCACCTTTTATTTTTAATCCCTTCAATATTTGTTTTCCTTTTCTTGATCCCTATTAAGCTCCCCGCTTTTCACATCTGCAAAAACACCAACCATTTAATTCTTAAACTCTTCTCGACATGTGCTATCCTCTTCAGAAATCCCCTTACCATCCGATAGCACATCGTTAATGAAAATCCGTGTTTGGGGCTTTTTTTTTTTGCGCTTCGACAGGATCAAGAGAGTCGCTCATTAAAATCGGCGGCGGGAAGGCAGCGAAGAGCGTCTAACAAATCGATTTTCGTTTAGTATCGTAATCAACAACACGGGATTTTTGTGCTCGTGCTAAAAATTTGTTTTTTGCGCTATAACAAGTCTGGCAAAGCCCCCGGTTTCGGCCTTTTGCCCAACATGGCTGAATGGAGAACTTAAAGAGCACTCGAACGGCACTCAGCCGCAAACACACACACACACAGACACACACACATACGGTGGCACACTCGATATGCATATGTGTGTGTGTGCGCTTAAGTGGAGTTTTTTTGGAGGGGGACGGGAAGTGGAGTTCTGGGCTTTGCAGTACTTGTCAAGATTGAATTTGGTTCGAATTTTTTTTAGAGGTTTTTCTCTTTCATTCGCCGGCTTCCCATTTATTTTTTCTGTTTTCCGTTTTTGTTTTTTTTTTTTTTTTTGGCGTTTTTATTGATCAAACAAAACGTAGCAAGTGGCAGCCAGTGAAGGTGTCACTGCTTACGGCAAGAAAAAAGAGAAATATATACAGAAATTCAGGCGAACATTGTAGGGGAAACACGCGCAGTGCGAATAGATTGCATGATTTGCTCCACTGCCTGTCATTCTGATTTTTTATGATTATTATTTTGCTTCATTTCGTTTAGCATTTTGGCATGTGACTGGCTTCCTTTCTCCTTACAGCAATATAGTAATAGTAATAGTAATGGCCATGTGATGTAGGAGTTCTCCACTTACCGGACCGAACTGTTCGAAGTAACTTTTGACATCCTCCAGTGTGGTGGGCGCCGAGAGGCCGCCCACAAAGATTTTCTTCGTTCTCGTCACCATCTGCAACGGGGCCAAGAAAAGCGAGAAAACGGGTTAATATATGAATGGCAGGCGAGTAATGAGCGGAAAGGTTAAGTCGCAACTGGCAGCGGTGGGCGGTATTTAAATATGCATTTTATACGAGACTTTACGCGGGTTACTCCCAAAGTTATGACCTTTTCAACGGCAGGGGGCTGCAAGTCGGGGAGCCCGGGGACCTGAGGCTTCGACCTTCGACCCCAAACCTTTCCCTCCAATCCCTTTCTTCCCTCCCATCTCCTGTAACTTATGGCCACCAACTTTCGCCATGAGTCGTTCGACCATTTTGTGCATTTTATGTACTACATGCATGGCCCTTATTCTCTTACTCTTCACTGCCAGTTTGTTTGAGTGTGTGTGTGTGTAAGTGTGTGAGTGTGTCTCTGAGGGTGTGTGTGTGCAGCTGGCATTTTTAAGCTGACAGTTTCAAGTGCCAACTTTACGCAGTTAGCGCTGCAGAAGCAGAAGCAGCAGCAGCAGCCGTCGAGCACCGAAAATGATGGCGAGACAAGGACGAGCAGGCAGCCTCAGGCTTGCATATGAAGATGCACTCGAAAAATATTCTATGCACTTTATATGTAACTAAAAATTTGATTCCAAAAAACTATTAAGCTATGAAGCTCGACTTCATAGATACACGTTTGTTCTGTAGGTGAAATAGTATACTACTAAGTAAGCTTAAGGTTTTTTTTAAATTATTAAAAGCTCTTAACTAAACCAAATAGCGTTGAAATAAATGCTACATTTTTTCTTTGGTTTTCTTTCTAATATTATGTTTTATAGAAATCTGTGGAGTCTCAGCGTTAGAATTTTAGATATATGAGAGGTAAGCCTTTTTATTTCAATTACTGTAAAAAGCTTGGAAGGATTCCTTTCAATTAGCAATACAAATATCGTTAAGGAAAAGTGTAAACCCATAAGTATGAAACATGTAATAAATGTTTATTAAAAATAAATGTTCATTTAACTTTTTACTATTTCTACACTTGGTAATAATTCTTTGTTACTCTACTCGATGTTTTAAAATGATTAATTTTAAAATTGAAGCAATTCATCTTATAAAACTGATTTTTTATAACTTGCTAACGAATCTCTGTAAAGATAACCTTTTCCAAACAAATTTTAAATATGCATGGCACCCTTTACAGTTATGTTTTTAATCATTATTTAGTAGCAATATCTAAAATTAAGAAAGCACAGGATACGCGAAAGTTATCGCCTATCAAAAATTTTGGCGCAGTGCACTTATGTGTGTGTGTGTTGGCCGCCTTTTCGTCGGGGTGTGCGTGCTGTGCTGTGTGTGTAGTGCATGTGTGTAGTGCAACGCCAGCCTTTTTAGCCTGCAGGCAAGCGTAAACTGTTAACGTTAAGTGACGGCAGTTAAGGCACAGTGGGCCCATCGCCGAGCCCCACCAATTTTAATTTGTATAATTTTTAAAAAATTACCCACAAGCTAAGTAAACCCCGGAGACCTCGGCTAAGTTCAGAGGCTGGCATGCTTGGATGGTTGAATCCGAGGGGGTGTGGGCGTGCCGGGATCCAAGGGTGCAAGGATCCCAGGATCCCAGGACCCAAAGGGGAGGAAAGGGAGGTGCGGAGCCCACGGTTTCTGGTTCGGGGTTCGAGGGTCCCTCGAATAAACCGGATGAAGCTGATGACGCTGATTGCACTGACGCTTGCAAGCTGCAATTTATGAGCACGGCACAGACAACGAAGATGGGAGAAGGGGGATGAGATGGAGGGGGGAGGGGGAGAGGGAGGGGATGGAAAAAGCCCACCCACTTTTCTAGAGGCGATGTGGGATATGTCCGTTAAGGAAGCTAACGATATGTAACAGCGGTGCTGATGTTTCTGCAGTGCCAGCAGTAAAATTCATACAATGTCGTAAAATTAAAACACTTGTGCCGTCGCACACACACACACACAAACACATAGATTCTGCCATAGATATAGAAAAGGGGGAAGCAGGGGTGGGGGGTAGGTTTAGATGTTACTACAAAGTTGGTCGTGCAGCTTTTGGCAAGGCAAATCGCTTTGGCCCAGAGTCCTGTCTACTTGCTCAGCGCCTGGCTTCTGTTTTTGGTCTCCTTCTTCCTGTCGCTCTTAGTTTTTCCTCCTCCCGTGTTTTTCTTTTTTTCCCCTCCCCCTCCCTCTTCACCCCTTTCTTTTTTTTTTGTGTCTGTGCTGCACTTTAGCCAGGTTGAGTTAGCAGCAGAGCTTGTGGTCCGTCCGTCGGTTGGTTGCAGCTCTCCGCGGGCGTTCCCTCTAACAATTTGCAAAGGCAAAAACCGAGCAGAAATCAAGTTGAGAGTGCGCTGCAAGAAAGTAACTGTAACAACATGACGTCCGAGACAACGTTGAACCCCATCACACCCACCCATTGCAACACCACACAAGCACCGCCCCAGATGCACCACCCGGGTGGCTCATCATCACCAGCCACAAAATGGGTACAGAAATTGCAGCGTTGTTAAAAAGCGATTCAAACTGCAGTGGCCAGCACTTTGAGTGTTTCTGTGCACTTTCCAAAAAATTTTATGAGCAAATCTCGAGTGATTAGTAATCACCCAATAACATTAAAATGTATCCTTCACTGAGTATTAAAATTCTAAATTCAAAATGAATTATCTTCTTTTATTTAAGCATAAGTAAATGCAAACACCACATATTATACAAATGTATACAAATTTCTTGTAATTATAGTCATTTGAAATTATACCTATTAGCAAGCGAAAAAAACAGATTTTTTAGTGGAGTTCATTAACACCTTAATACAATTTAAAATAATTAAATTTATTAATTATGGTAAATTGTAACGATTTAAAACTGATTGTTTCCATATCATTGTATTTTTTGTATCCGAAAAGCAAAAAAAATATATAAAATTAACATACCTTCCCCATAAAAAAGACGTTTTATTGTTTCATCTAAAAAAACCTCAAATAATGTTTATTGGGCAAATTGTATTAATTTGTGGCTGTTGTCAATATTAAAGAGTTAGTTGCTTTAAAAGCTTAATATGAGAAAACAACTTTTTTATATTGAGTAATCAATTGTAGAGAAGTATTTAGGATAGAATAACATTTAAAGAGGTTTACTCCCATTTTTTTCTCTGTGCGATTGCAGGCTCCCTTTCAGCAGGCGACCACAATGCACTAATGCCAGCCGGCTCTAATCACTCCCAAAATGGAGCTACTTAAACTAATAAACTGGAGTTTGGCCGGGAGTTTGATTGCTCGGCCAACGTTGGCAATGTCATCATCAAATATAAATGAACCAGTTTGGGAACACGCCCAGTGATAGCTGATAGTGGGCCATGAATCAAAAACAAAACACACCCAGAACCGAACCGAACCGAACTGAACGCGACCTCAAGACAAATACACACGCGGCTAAGGGGAAACACGGATATCCCGATACAAGGATACGTGGGTACGAGGATACGAGGATATGGAGATACGGTGTTACGCAGATACAGATACTTAGATACTCAGATACAAATGGCAACGCACACGCATACTAACGAAGTGACACGGCATTTTAACGGCCACCGCAGCGGAGCACAGATTAGGAATGTCAATATTAGCCACAAGGACTGCGATGAGCTGCCGGATGTCCTGCGGGGGAGGAAGGATCATGGAGAGGGGATGGGGAAGAGAGGGGGTCAAGTGGGTGGAGCCGACAACTGGCACAATGTTTGGCCATGGCCATGTCTTTTTGGTCGGCTAATGCCGAAAATTTGACAAATGACGTCACGAGTGGGCGTTATCAAGCGGTGGGCGTGCCAGCGGAACGAAAGGACAAGCGGGGGAAAAGGACACGCGAAAGCGCAAGAAGGCGGACCTGTTACAATGCAGTTGACAAGAAAGTCGCCCCCCAGCTGGATGTCTAATGTTTAATCGACGCGACAATGGAACTTTTGTTCACGAAAAAGGGTTAAACAAATAGCTCAGCTTCTCTGTAATCAAAATAAAAGTTACCATTAAAGCACACAATTTTCGGTAACTCGCAAATGTTTTGTTCCCTAAATGAAACCTAAATAAATAAAAACGTTTCTGACTTGCAGGTTTATATTTAAGAGAAAAAGGGTTTACAGCTTTTAATAAGAAAACGTAATGCCGTAAAGTAATTGGATTTAAGCAGAAAGTACTTTCTAAACAACTATTTGAAAGACTTGGTAAATTTCCTTTATTAAGGTGATTTCGTTTGTTCATTAAATCATTTAGGTGTAAAATTTGTAGATCCATTGAATCTGACTTAATTAACCAGCTGATTGAAAAAAAAATCATACTACGATTAATCCAAAAAAGACACTAAGAATATTTAACTTTGCCATTATTACAATATTGTTTTTGGAGCTCAATTTACTCTTGTTGCTTTAGATTATTAATCACTCTATTGAATTACATTGTCTCCAACAGATAAGGAAGACAAAAATGCCCCCAAAAAGCATCAATCAATTCAACACCTAGTCTGTTTATTTAATATACAGATTTACGCCTTTCCCAAGGCATTAAGGATTTTAATGAGGCATAGCATATAAGTAGGAAAACACAATAAAATCGACACTTTATCACGGGCTCTCATCGAATGGCAAGGCGGTTGACAAGTGGCATGCATATTTCATTCCGACGGAGTTGCTATCGATAACCCGACTTTATCCTTAGTTCGCTCATCCTGCTTTGGATCGCATCCTTGCATATATGAATGGAGGAGAAAGCGATGCCGACATGGCCATCATCTGCTCCATCATCTGAAGGGGAGAAACCCCGATGTCTGTTATGTTAGTGGGAAAGGCCAAATCAATTTAACACTTTCAACTAAATTATTCATTTTGCATAATAATTTTCAAATCTGTCAAAAATGTACTCGCACACCCGCAGATACAAAGGATTCTCGACGCGTCTGCACTTTCACACGCTCCGGAATGGAAACGGGGGAGGGGGCGTGGCATTAGGGGGCGCTTTCTAAAAAGCACTCAAATAATTCCCGGGCGTAAGCTAAACCAGCGCAAAGTTGCCGAGAGCTCACAACAATGGCAAACGGAAATTGGGGATGGGGTTTTTCGCTGTAAGGCAATGAAATTGGTGGGGTTGTTTTTTTGGAGCAGGAGGCGGGATGAGGTTTTCTGGCTCGAGAAAATGGAAAACCCTTTAACCGTGCGTAGGCTCCGCCGACGTCCGCCAAGCGTCGCAAATTCTGTTAAGCGAAAATTTCATCAACGGGACAGAATTTTCATTCGCCATTCAGACGCTCGCGCAACCTGCCCGAAAACCCGCCGCCGCCGTCGTCGTTCGTTGTCAAAATGAAAGGAAAATGTCTCATAAATCCTTTTAATATTAAATGAGCTCGTTCTACGCGACAGCCCTGACTACCCAGCAAAGCGGTGGGAAAAGCGATGGGAAAGGGCGGAGCAGGGAAAGCAGTGGAAATTCGGGCAACGCACACACTTAAAATTATGTGGCTAATGGGAGCAACTTGCCTGGAAATTGCGCGCGGAACTGCGGAGATGTCTCGAATCGGCGACACATGTTCAGCGGAAAAGCGGAAAACCCGTAAAGCGGGCAAGTGGGAAAGCGGGAAAGTGCGGGGGGTTTGGGGCCAAAGGAATGGGGCACTTTGCCAATTGTCATTAAATGTAATTTTTAAACCTGTTAGCGCATGTGTGCCATAAAATGTGAGGTTAAAAGGGTTTTTCTTTCGGGCCTCCCTAGGATGTCCTTTTTCCATAGCTGCCATTTGGTTTTATTGTGAAATTAGTCGGCAAAAGCGGGTTTATTAAAGTTCGCCTCCGAAATTCCTGATGCGTTGCCCGAATTTCGCGCCGGGGCGGCAAAGGGTTAAGGGGTGAGTTTTTCAACGACAACAATTTGTAACATTTGCCGCACTTCCCGCAAGAATTTTCGACCGCCGGGGGGCAAGGCGGCAGAAAAAAAAAGAAAGCGGCATTTCGGGAAAACAGGATTGGTTGTAACCCACTCGAAAAAAGAGCTCCGACATCATTCAAAGTGACAAATTATCCATGCAAATTTTATACAAAATAAAGGGGAGCACCAACACAACGACAGCCGCCGTGGGAAAAAGTGTTGCATACTTATGAGTGCTGGTGAAGAGCTCCGGCCTGAAATATGAGCATTGATAGAAAGTTTGACAAATGCCAAAGGATGCCATTTCAGGATAAGAACAGGAAGGCGGATGGGGGAATATATATGGGCCTGCTTACTCAAGCATTATCTTTGTTCATTTCCTTTTACACTTCCCGAAAAAAACGGGAAATAAATACACTTTTTAAGCTTTTGAAGCTAAACACTTAATAAAGTGTAAATTATTGACGCTTAAATTGATTTGTTTATGATTATTGATACTTAAATACTTTTTTAATAATCAGCCATTAGAATTCAATGACTTTTTATATGTTCCATAAAAGGGTGTTCAGCTTTGATTAATTTCAATCAAATCGTGTGTGCATAAATTTATGTTGTTGGAAAAAAAACTAGCCATATAAAAAGGGATCTTTATATTTATTTCGTCACTGATGAGTTTAAAAAAAACTATTTTAATAGCAATTAAGTAAGGAAAGCGTTAATTATCATTTTAAAGCAGGAAAAGTCAAACATAACTTTAAATTGCTTTAAAGTTTTGTTTCCTTTGTATATATTGTTATGTTACATAATCCAAGTTGTTTTCGATTCATTCTAAAGGACATATAAGTTATGTTTTTTCAGTGTTCGTTTGGGGCTCTCAGTTATGCATAATTCGATATGCTCCATCAATGCCGCATTGTCCGTTCTCCGTTCTCCGTTCTAGGTTTTCTGTTTTTGTCTGGCTTTCAATTAAAATGACCATAATCACACAGCCACAGACAGGACATAACGCACCCCCATTTCCATTTCCATCTCCATTTTCGTCCTGGCCAACACACACACACATGTGGTCCTGATCCCAGTGCGTTGAGCCCAAACAAAATTTGTGCAATTTCCGTTACTAATACTTTTTGGTCAATTTCCTTCGAAATTTGCTTGGCCAGTCGAACTGGCAGGACAAAAAGCGTTCGTTCGGTGGTCTGTTGGTCCTTTGGCTCGTCTTCCTTGTTGATTTATTGCCCGGACAGAAGGAAGTCCCATCCTCCGGTCGCTCCTTAATTTCGTTGATATTTATGCGGCAAATGTCCCTGCAAACGTGGCCAATAAACACGTTCCTGCTGTCACTGACAAGGGATAATGGGCCTGGTTCATAGAGAAATCAGCATTTGAATATGCCCCGGGGAGGGAAAAACCGAGAGTTTTTGGGGCCGCCCTTCAAAGAGGCAATGCAAATTCGGAGTGAAGCCGTGCTTTATTTTTTTTGAGCAGCTTGTAAGCCTGTAAATCAAATGAAATATATGGCCGGCACATAAATACATTTTCGGAGATTGATGCCAAATAGTTTCGAGCTTCCCAGCAGAGAGAAAGCGATCCGGACTGAGCTGAGTTGGCATTTTAATGAGCTCCATAATGCGACGGGGCAACAAAAACTAAAATGGCGCATCGCTCACAAATTGGTTGCGAGTGGGTGGCTGGCTCAAAAGGATGGCTGCGATGGCACAAGAGAGTCCTGGCAAGTCACCTTATTTATGCATAACAATAATGAATATTATACAACAAGCCCGAAATGTAATTCTGTGTAATTAATTATTAATTTATGCGCATACATTTAACTCACACGCATTGTCGTCGACAGCAGGAGCACAGGCGAAAGCAGGACCAACACACATGTGTGTGTGTGTACCTCCCCCTCTCCTTCTGCCTCTCTACCCTCTTTCACTCCTTTACAGCGCGATTATGTGTGTGTGTGTTAGTGAGTGTGTGCTTGGCATTGGCATCCTGGCACAATGGCGGCTGGCGGATACGGAAACTGTTTTGCTGCCGTTGATGCCGATGCCATAGAGAAGCCCCGGCCATTGTTGTTGCCGATGCCAGGCTTACCCATTAATTGCTGCTATTTATGGCTTGATTGGTTTTAAACCTAGTCAAATGTGCACTGCCGAGCACCCTTTTCGGCTGACGTTTCAAATAAATTATGTTATTGCAAAGTCTTAGGAGGAATGATAGCTCTTACTCGGAAGAAACATTGCATTTGAGTTTAATTACCTCATAAAATTGCATTGATTAATTGCATTTATCTAGTGTGTTTAAATGCACCTAAAGTTGCATTCTCAAAATTAATTTATTATTTATTTTACTAAACATTCACCTTTTCTGGTGTATATTTTATACAAACAATTAATAGCAAGTCATCGATGAATATTTAAGGACTTTCCCAGAAAAAAGTTTAGTTTAGATAAAAGTGCTTCAAAAAATGTTCTATTAAATATAATAGTTAGTGTATATATTATAAGAAATTGTATTTTACATTTTTTTTTAATTTGGATATTTTAATTCTATGCAATCTTATTTTTTTTGCAGAATTGTTTTCTTTTGAAGTATTTATTTCCATGTTTATTCCTTTCAATATTTGGTTATATTTTCTAAGGGTATATAATGTGCGAGTTGGCTCCACAGACACCCTTTATTGCCACGTTGCTGCAGCGACTAACGACTAACGACCAACAAAGTCGTTCAGATGCTGGTCGCATGTTGCTGCCCCTGTCGTTCTAATGTTAAGTTGAATTGTCATTAAAATTGTCGTCCATACTAACTAAAGCTGCTGCTCAGTGGGTAAGTGTACGTATGCCTCTGTGTGCGTGTGTGTGAGGGCGTACATGTAAATTGTGCGGCAGGCCCCTCGATGTATGCAACACTTTTGGCTTGGCGAGCAGAGCATAAATGCTTGCCTCCCCAGCGGGAAAGTGAGAAGTAGGTTTTTTATTTGAGTGGAAAACCTCCTTCTTTTAGCAGGCGTAGGGGTAGGGATAGTTGAAAATCTACTTCTTTTAGCAGGCGTAGGTAAGGGATAGAAAATTTCGGACCGCTAAATGGGGTGGGTTTCTGAATATGACCATAAGTTACAACGAAGTTGTGACTAATTATTGTCTTTGTCTTTGTGATGCACGGTCACATCAGCATAAAATTTCGTGCAAAAAGTGTAAAAAGTGAAAAAAAGTTGTGTTAATCTTAAAAAACAAGATAAAGGTAAGTTATAACATAAATATTTTTGTTTGTATTTCCTTATTTCAGCGTTACGGATATGGTGAGCATAGGCATTTTTACTAAAACTAAATATAAGCCGCCAGAGGCGGTTGTCAAGTAGGTAAGTTTTTTATTTAAATTTATTTTTCAGTTTTTCAAGAACAAACAATGTTTTTTCTAGAATTTGTAATAGATTCGACTTCAAAGATTCTGGCCCTTGTGTTAATATTAACGGCAAAACTGAACGTGCGCAAGCGGACATTCCGATTTCGTCATATGAAGAACTCGGCCATTTGGACTCCGATGCCGAAGCCAATCCAGAAGCATTTGTAAGTACTCGCTAAATTTTTAATAAGTTTCAACAGCCCTGTGTTCCCATGCTTTTTACTATGTTTATTACTTACTTTTCTAAATTTCTCTAATTTTCCCATTACTTTTTATATATTTATTATTTGTATTAATATGTAATATATTAATGTATTATGGTTTTTATTTTCAGAGTCACTCAGAAACGACAATTACAGTCTTACCCAATATCAAGATGATCTGCGTTCACCGTTCACTAAGGCAAATAATAACATACAACAATACTTATGATAAAAGCCCTTGGACTGTAAATAGATTAATAAATGCATATACCAAATTAAAAAGTATTATTTTTTATTGTGAAAATTCTGTAAAGCGGGAAGGCCAAAAACCAGTGGATTTTGCCCTGCATTCAGCAGTTACAGATCCACTGGATTTTGTCCTGCATTTAGCAGCTGTAGGTCCAGTGGATTTTGCCCTGCATTCAGCAGCTGTAGGTCCAGTGGATTTTGTCCTGCATTCAGCAGCTTTAGGTCCACTGGATTTTTCCCTTTACCCCTTACTTTTGTGTGTCACCCCCGTGTATTTTGAAAGGAGAGACGGCAGATTTGTAAGGGGTAAAGGGGATTTTCCACATTCCGCTTGTATGAAGAAACCACCCAGCGGGAAAGTGAGAAGTAGGTTTTTTATTTGAGTGGAAAACCTCCTTCTTTTAGCAGGCGTAGGGGTAGGGATAGTTGAAAACCTACTTCTTTTGGCAGGCGTTGGGAAGGGGTAAATAATTTCGGACCGCTAAATGGGGTGGGTTTCTGAATATGACCATAAGTTACAACGAAGTTGTGACTAAATATTGTCTTTCTTCGGGATTTTGTTATATGATGCCCGGTCACATCAGTATAAAATTTCGTGCAAAAAGTGTAAAAAGTGAAAGAATGTTGTGTTAATCTTAAAAAACAAGATAAAGGTAAGTTATAACATAAATATTTTTGTTTGTATATCCTTATTTCAGCGTTACGGATATGGTGAACATAGGCTTTTTTCCAAAAACTACATTTTAGCCGCCGGAGGCGTTTGTCAAGTAAGTATGTAAGTTTTTCATTTAAATTTATTTTTCAATCTTAAAAGAACAAACAATGTTTTTTTTAGAGTTTGTAATAGATTCGACTTCAAAGATTCTGGCCCTTGTGTTAATATTAACGGCAAATCTGAACAGGCGCAAGCGGACAATTCGATTTCGTCATTTGAAGAACTCGGCCATTTAGACTCCGATGGCGAAGCCAATCCAGAAGCATTTGTAAGTACTCACTACATTTTTAATAAGTTTCAACAGTCCTGTGTTCCCATGCTTTTTACTATGTTTATTACTTATTTTTCAAAATTTCTCTATTTTTTCCCATTACTTTATATATATTTAATATTTGTATTAATATGTAATATATTAATGTATTATGGTTTTTATTTTCAGAGTCACTCAGAAACGACAATTACAGACTTCCTCAATATCAAGATGATCTGCGTTCACCGTTCACTAAGGCAAAAAAATAAAACATACAACAATATTTATGATAAAGGCCCTTGGACTGTAAATAGATTAATAAATGCATATACCAAATTAAAAAGTATTATTTTTTATTGTGGAAATTCTGTAAAGCGGGAAGGTCAAAAACCAGTGGATTTTGTCCTGCGTTAAGCAGCCAGATTTCCACTGGTTTTTTCAGTACAAAAACCATTGGATTTTGCCCTGCATTCAGCAGCTGTAGGTCCACTGGATTTTGTCCTGCATTTAGCAGCTGTAGGTCCAGTGGATTTTGTCCTGCATTGAGCAGCTTTGGGTCCACTGGATTTTTCCCTTTACCCCTTACTTTTGTGTGTCACCCCCGTGTATTTTGAAAGGAGAGACGGCAGATTTGTAAGGGGTAAAGGGGATTTTCCACATTCCGCTTGTATGAAGAAACCACTGGAAAATAGCATATTTTCCACAGGTTTTTTCCCGCTGGGCACTGGAAAATAGCATATTTTCCACAGGTTTTTCCCGCTGGGTCTGCTTGAGCATTCGTGTGTGTGTTTCTGTGCGAGTTTGTGTGTGTGTGTGTGTGTGGAGCGTGGTTAAAAAGTGCCAACGCAGCATGTTTTCAACATTGTTTAAATTTATATGGCAGACAGGCGGGCACACACACACACATACTCAGAAGTTTGAGGACACGGATGGGACACCCTGGACGGCCGCAACTTGTGCTTAAAGTTTTAAATTTGCATAACACAGCAGGGAGCAAAGCAGCAAAGTAGCAAGGAGTCAAGGAGGGTCAGCCTAGGACATTCTACTTCTCTTTCTCTCCCTCTATCTGTCCCTCTCGCTCTCGCATTCTGTCTTACGTAATTGCCAGTCTCATAAACTCCAGGACCAATCATCATTAGGCGCTCGGTCATTACATAATTATCGCAATCACAACTTGCAGGTAATTGAAATTGTGTGTGGTGTCCATTTGGAGTCAATTTCGATAAAGTTTTCCCTCGATTCCGATTCCGATTCGTACGTATATATAGCATAGTACTGGCTTCCATTTAACGCTAATCACTCGCAGTCACACACAGCCAACTCGAAACTCGGTTAGAGCCAAATAATTTGTCTTTCTATTTCCGTTAAATGGAAGGGAATGAGGCGAAACTTTCCTTCGGTGTGTGTGGATTGTTTTTGGCCAAGGTCAAAAGCGGGCCACTCGGGGCGGGCTAGGTGACGGTTTTGCTTAATTAGAACATTCATTAATCAAATCAAAACCATTTGCCACCCCGGGCTTAGGCCTAGCCAAGAAAAAGCGACCCAGACAAAGAGGAATAGCGCCGGCGAAAAAAGGAAACTTTCGCCGAATGCCGAATGGCGAATGGCGGCCAGGCACGCACAGGGCCAAGAGTTTGGTTTTGGCTAAAAGGAAAAGGAGGAGGAGGAGGTTTGGGGGGAGGAGCAGCGAATAAATTCGGTCGCATAGAAAAACGACAAGCGGCATAACAAAGCGCAGAGATTCGGACGGAGCTAAGGACGGAGCCGCAGGATGAGCCAACGTAATACAACAAAGGACGAGAAACGAGAAACGAAAAAAATGCGACCATTAAAACACATTTGTATATCTATTTTTGGGGCGAAACAGGCTCAACCTCAAACTTCAGAGCGACGGGCGGTCCGCGAATGCCGCAGAACCCCGGGAACCCCGGGAACCCAAAAAACCAACACACACAAAAACCAACTAAACCAAAACCAAAACCAAAACGAAACCAAATCCGAATCCGAATCCCGAATACGAATACGGATACGAAACTCCCAGCCGAAAGCGAAAGATACAGAAAATTCGGGGCGGGGAGGTGAACAATGGCCAGCAGAAGCAGAGAAATACTTAAAACTACTTTAATTTATGGCGCACGCATTTCTGCGTTTAGCTCAGCCCCTTTTCCCTTCATTTCCGTTACTATTCATGAAAGAGGTTTACGGACTGGGGCTTCCGAGGTCGGAGGCCAAAGCAATCAGTCAGCAAACAACACGGCTTTGAGTCCTGCCCTCAGTCTCGCTCTTTCAAAGGATTCGCTCGCCCGCCCGCCATCTCTTTCTAATAAGTCCCTTTTGGCCCCCGCAAAGAAAAACACGCCAATTCAAAGGCATCTCGAGACGAGTGCTGTTCCCAGTTTCTTCCATCAAATTTGTAAGTTGAATCCAGCATATCCACATGTGTATGTTATGACCCAGTCGGCTATCAGCGTACGTGGCTGAGATTCGGCTGGGGAATTAATGAGAAATCATAAATCAGAAGATAATTGGAGAGCTCTGGCGGCCCGACAGCTTCTTTTATTTTTCGGGCGGCTCTGTCGCTTTACAAAGTCAAAGCGATATCGCCAGTCACTGGGATTCCCTTCGCTGCAGTCAGTTGCACCCTTTCAGTGGCATTGTGCACAGTGAAAATTATCAACAAACTCAAATATGTTCCTAAAACTTTATATTGAAAAAAAGAATTGAATTCGAGAAACAAATAACATTCAATAGTAAATGTATCAGCTAACTGCGTAGTTTCTTGCTGCTTTAAAAATGTCGAATGAAACTAGTTTTTAAAAGTATTTTCTTTTAAATCATTGCTGATGTTATTATAAGTAAGTTACTGATGTTATTGTAAGAAGCCAAGGAATAAACAACTTTTCAACATTTCTCTCGCTAATTTGGTTTTGCAATATATTTAAAATCCCTTTTAAAGTAAAGAATTAAATACATTATTGGTTATTTGAATTTCCCGTAGTTTTTCAAGATACTTTCCACTTCCTTGACACAATATTGCTAGATTATTTTAATTCAAACAGTTAAAATAGACAACTAGCTCCTGTCTTTGTGTGTTTTTTTCTCGGTGTACGCCCCTTTTTCTGGCTTTCCTACCAAATGCTGAGTGGGTAAATTATGCATAAGCGCACTACCAGCCACATTATGACGAGGCAGGCGGACGTCTGATGCAGAACGCAGCTGCCTGGATTATGTATGAGTGGTTCGGTGGGGCAAAGGGGGCCAAAAGGGGAGGGGGCGGTAAGGTGCGGGGGCTGGCAACTCACTTGTCAACGTGCTCATCACATTTCTTCCCGGCCAAACGAAACGAAATCACCGAACCCAACCCAAGCCCCAATCCAAACCCAACCAAACTCAACTCAACAAAACCACCCATCGTGCCGTTTATGCGCACCAAGGCAAACAAACAGCAAAATATTTGTATGCTAAGCCAAACACATGCGACGGCGAAGCCCCACAATGCCACGCCCCCTTTCCGCCGAGTGCCTACCTCCCACCTCCTCTCTCCCCTTTCAGCTGCCACCAGACGCCGCCCCCGTTTCCAGAGAGTCAGCCCAACGCGGCTCAAGTATTTTGCATTGCTAAGCAGAAATTATAAATCAGGGCAATTGTTGAAGATTTGCAGCCCGCACAACTAAACGGGAACCGGAATGGAAATGGAAAATGGGAGCGGTAAAGGGAATGTCATAGCGCCAAGGGAGAGGGGAAGGGGGAGGGGGAGCGGTATGGGGTGGTGCTGGGATTGCGGCACGCACGCCTCGCTGCTTTCCCGTTACACGGCCGCTTCAGCTTCAGCTTCTTCTTCTTCTTTTGCTGCTGTTGTTGACTAACTGACTGGCTAAGTGACTGACTGACTGACTCGCTCTGCTGTCTGTCCTGCACTCGAATAAAAATATATATTTATAATCACAGAAAGCCATTTTGATTTGGGAAATTTGTATTACTGAAATACAG